CAGGACACATGCTAAAACACTGCTAGCTACTGACTTCAGAATCTAATGGTTCCTTACCTAGCAAGCCTGAGACAAATATATGATCTAGCCAGCTAGCTGCTAGCTACGATCTGAGTTTCTCTAGCTAATTAAAAGTTTGTGGACGTGTCAAAGTAGCTAGCTAACTTGGCTAGGTAGCTAGCTAGCAATGATCTGTTGCCGTCTGACAAATATCACTACTGCTACCAACCTCTGGCTAGAGTAGCAAACCAGACAGTTAGGTTTGACGGATTAAATAATGTCCACACAGCTTCGGAATAATAATGTCCACAGTTTCTTTGACGACTAACGTTAGTAAGAAAAGGTGTCAACTATGCGATTGCTAGCTAACTTAGCTACCTCTAGCCAGCCAACTATCTTAGCAAGCAGCTAGCTAGCAATACACCGTCCTCATATCAGAGAAGCCAGATTGCGTTAGCTAGTTTAGCAAACCAGCTAGCTAGCTAATTTATCTAACGTTAGTTGGGATAACGTTAGTAGACAACATTGAACGTGACCAAAACAAAAAAACAACTTTGGATGTTAGCTAACGTTTTGCAGATATCCAACGTTGGCCATTTGTAAATTAACGTTAGCTGCTTGGTGGTTAGCTAACGTCATCTATTAGCTAGTTAGCAAGTCAGCTATCCAAAAGGTGATATGCTAGCTAGCTATCAGACTTGGCAGCTAACGACCCACATCTATTAAACAATTGCAATCACCAACTTGCAAAGGTTAGTAAGATATTCGTGTATTAATCAAAGGTGTCACTCTGGGTTTACACAAAAAAATATATTTGCTAACGTTAGATTGCTAACAGACATTACCTTGGAAGCTAGACGGTGGATCAATACCCTTCTCGGCCCTCGAGACGTAATGTTTACTGTGTCAGACCTCTTCTTCCTCTTCAATGGAGTTTATCGGCATCCAACGTTATGGCGCATTACCGCCACCTACTGCACTGGAGTGTGGGCCAGATACAGGGAGAAACTAAATCCTACCTGCCAGCCCCGTTGCTCTTAAAAAATATAACAAAATATTTGAAACTATATCTAATGACGTTCTACTCAATATAGTCTTTAAACTAATTTCCTGTATCCCCTTCTCCCTCACACTACATCTCATCATCTCTCTTTCCCTCTGATACTGCCCACACTGTAGCAATACATGCTCCACGGTCTCTGTTTCCTGGCAATACATTTACATTTACGTCATTTAGCATATGCTCTTATCCAGAGCGACTTACAAATTACATAATCACACTTTCCTGTTTTATGCTTTCCTATCACATTTAAGGTCTTATTCAACTGGCTGTGTCCCACCCATAATCTTGTAAAAATAGCCTCCTCTCTTCTGTCCCTTCCTGCGGTCCTCCCCTCCCTGACTTTCCTCTGTACTTGAAATAAATGCCTGCCCTTAGTATCTCTATTCCACTGCTCCTGCCATCTCTGCACCATCACTGTATATATCAGTAGTTTTCCCGCTGCCTTGCTCATTGAAACTACAACATCAACATCCCCACTACTAAGTGCTTGTTTAGCCTGTACATCAACAGCCTCGTTCCCCTCCACCCCCACATGGGCTGGGACCCAAGTAAATCTTATCTGTATACCCATCTGTCTAATCCTGCCATGGGTTTGTAACACCTCTTGTCTGCTACGTGAGCTAAAGGAATGGAGACTCATCAACACTGCACATGAATCAGAGCAAATAACTACTCTGTCTGACTTAACTTCCTCCACCCACTGCAAGGCCAACAGTATGGCCATCAGCTCCACCCACTGCAAGGCCAACAGTATGGCCATCAGCTCCACCCACTGCAAGGCCAACAGTATGACCATCAGCTCCACCCACTGCAAGGCCAACAGTATGGCCATCAGCTCCGCCCACTGCAAGGCCAACAGTATGGCCATCAGCTCCGCCCACTGCAAGGCCAACAGTATGGCCATCAGCTCCGCCCACTGCAAGGCCAACAGTATGGCCACCAGCTCCGCCCACTGCAAGGCCAACAGTATGGCCACCAGCTCCGCCCACTGCAAGGCCAACAGTATGGCCATCAGCTCCGCCCACTGCAAGGCCAACAGTATGGCCACCAGCTCCGCCCACTGCAAGGCCAACAGTATGGCCACCAGCTCCGCCCACTGCAAGGCCAACAGTATGGCCACCAGCTCCGCCCACTGCAAGGCCAACAGTATGGCCACCAGCTCCGCCCACTGCAAGGCCAACAGTATGGCCATCAGCTCCACCCACTGCAAGGCCAACAGTATGGCCACCAGCTCCGCCCACTGCAAGGCCAACAGTATGGCCATCAGCTCCGCCCACTGCAAGGCCAACAGTATGGGCACCAACTCCGCCCACTGCAAGGCCAACAGTATGGCCATCAGCTCCGCCCACTGCAAGGCCAACAGTATGGCCACCAGCTCCGCCCACTGCAAGGCCAACAGTATGGCCACCAGCTCCGCCCACTGCAAGGCCAACAGTATGGCCACCAGCTCCGCCCACTGCAAGGCCAACAGTATGGCCACCAGCTCCGCCCACTGCAAGGCCAACAGTATGGCCACCAGCTCCGCCCACTGCAAGGCCAACAGTATGGCCACCAGCTCCGCCCACTGCAAGGCCAACAGTATGGCCACCAGCTCCGCCCACTGCAAGGCCAACAGTATGGCCACCAGCTCCGCCCACTGCAAGGCCAACAGTATGGCCACCAGCTCCTGACAACAGAATGACACAAATACTAATTTTCATTTTCAGTCTGCTGCCTCAGTTTTGATGATGGCAATTTGCATATACTCCAGAATGTCATGAAGAGTGATCAGATGAATTGCAATTCATTGCAAAGTCCCTCTTTGCCATGAAAATGAACTTAATCCCCAAAAAACATTTCCACTGCATTTCAGCCCTGCCACAAAAGGACCAGCTGACATCATGACAGTGATTCTCTCATTAACACATCTGAGAGTGTTGACGAGGACAAGGCTGGAGATCCCTCTGTCATGCTGATTGAGTTAGAATAACAGACTGGAAGTTTTAAAAGGAGGGTGGTGCTTGAAATCATTGTTCTTCCTCTGTTAACCATGGTTACCTGCAAGGAAACAAGTGCCGTCATCATTGCTTTTCACAAAAAGGGCTTCACAGGCAAGGATATTCTAGTAAGATTGCACCTAATCAACCATTTATCGGATCATCAATAACTTCAAGGAGAGAGGTTCAATTGTTGTGAAGAAGGCTTTAGGGCGCACAAGAAAGTCCAGCAAGCGCCAGGACCGTCTCCTAAAGTTAATTCAGCTGCGGGATCGGGGCACCACCAGTGCAGAGCTTGCTCAGGAATGGCAGCAGGCAGGTGTGAGTGCATCTGCACGCACAGTGAGGCGAAGACTTTTGGAGGATGGCCTGGTGTCAAGAAGGGCAGCAAAGAAGCCACTTCTCTCCAGGAAAAACATAATGGACAGACTGATATTCTGCAAAAGGTACAGGGATTGGACTGCTGAGGACTGGGGTAAAGTCATTTTCTCTGATGAATCCCCTTTCTGATTGTTTGGGCCATCCGGAAAACACCTTGTCCGGAGAAGACAAGGTGAGCGCTACCATCAGTCCTGTGTCATGCCAACAGTAAAGCATCCTGAGACCATTCATGTGTGGGGGCCAGTATGAAAAATATATGCACTCACTAACTGTAAGTCGCTCTAAATAAGAGTGTCTGCTAAAATGTAAAAAAATGTTATATTTTGTCAATTTGCACAATGACCACTTGTCTCTCAAATACATCGTTACAGTTGTTGGTTAGCTAGATTGCGAATTATTGCCATATTAGCATAGACTTGACATCAGTCAAAACACCTAAAAACAAGACAGGGTATCAAGAACAAGATAAAACTAGCTGAAACGAGCCACCTACGATTCCCCACATGGCAGCTTCTGGTCATTGTTGGTAGCTATCCGGCCATCCAGAATCACAACAACACACTGACTTCTGGCCCATTGAATCGCACGCATGGTTTTCATGACGTTGTCAGCTATCCCAATTTATGTAAATTTTTACTCTGAGGTTCAGAGTTTCCGAATTGATAACTTTCATAACGTTTTCTAATCAAACTACTGTGTTGATTTAATAGTTAAAGCAATACATGTTGTGGTTCATTGCATTGCTACATTGCTATCTAAACAGTGGTGTAAAGTACTTCAGTAAAAATACTTGAAAGTACTACTTAAGTCGTTTTTTGGGGTATCTGTACTTTACTTTACCATTTATATTTTTGCCAACTTTTACTTCACTATATTCCTAAAGAAAAAATGTACTTTTTACTCCATACATTTTCCCTGACACCCAAAAGTACTCATTACATTTTGAAAGGTTAGCAGGACAGAAATATTGTCCAATTCACACACTTATCAAGAAAACATCCCTGGTCATCCCTACTGCCTCTGATCTGGCTGAGTGTTGGAGCGTGGTCCTGGCTATCCGTAAATAAACATTTTAAATGGTACCGTCTGGTTTGCTTAATATAAGGAATTTGAAATTATTTATATTTTAACTTTAACTTTTGATACTTAAGCATATTTTAGCAATTACATTTACTTTTGATACTTAAGTATATTTAAAACCAAATACTTTTAGACTTTTACTCAAGTAGGATTTTATTGGGTGACTTTAACTTTTACTTGAGTCATTTTCTATTAAGGTATCTTTACATTTACTCAAGTATGACAATCGGGTACTTTTCCACAACTGTATCTAAGCTAACCCCAAATCAGTTGTATTGGTTGGCTGGCAGTGTTTACTAGTAATGGAGTGGATCATCTTCCACTGAGGCTGTGCAGAGGAGCAGAGTGATGGATTGTGGTCAATGTAGTCAGTATAGAACACATCTCTCTGTGACCTCTGCAACAGCACCTAACCATGGCATTGTTACTCAAAATTATACTTTGTGTGACTGTCCATTAGGTGGCGCTGTCATTCAACATGCACTTCAATCATTGACAACATGGGGTTGTTACAGGGCTTTTACTACATGTATTAGACACAACCAGACCCAGAGCCCTGCATACATACAGCCCAACAACCAGACCCAGAGCCCTGCATACATACAGCCCAACAACCAGACCCAGAGCCCTGCATACATACAGCCCAACAACCAGACCCAGAGCCCTGCATACATACAGCCCAACAACCAGACCCAGAGCCCTGCATACATACAGCCCAACAACCAGACCCAGAGCCCTGCATACATACAGCCCAACAACCCAGCCCCAGAACCCAACCCCACAGCCCCAGAACCCAACCCCACAGCCCCAGAACCCAACCCCACAGCCTCAGAACCCAACCCCACAGCCCCAGAACCCAACCCCACAGACCCAGAACCCAACCCCACAGCCCCAGAACCCAACCCCACAGCCTCAGAACCCAACCCCACAGCCCCAGAACCCAACCCCACAGCCCAAGGACCCAACCCCACAGCCCTAGGACCCAACCCCACAGCCCTAGAACCCAACCCCACATCCCTAGAACCCAACCCCACAGTCGCAGGACCCAACCCCACAGCCCCAGAACCCAACACCACAGCCTCAGAACCCAACCCCACAGCCCTAGGACCCAACCCCACAGCCCCAGAACCCAACCCCACAGCCCCAGAACCCAACCCCACAGCCCCAGAACCCAACCCCACAGCCCCAGAACCCAACCCCACAGCCCCAGAACCCAACCCCACAGCCCCAAAACCCAACCCCACAGCCCCAGGACCCAACCCCACAGCCCTAGGACCCAACCCCACAGCCCCAGGACCCAACCCCACAGTTCCAGAACCCAACCCCACAGCCCTAGGACCCAACCCCACAGCCCCAGAACCCAACCCCACAGCCCCAGAACCCAACCCCACAGCCCCAGAACCCAACCCCACAGCCCCAGAACCCAACCCCACAGCCCCAGAACCCAACCCCACAGCCCCAGGACCCAACCCCACAGCCCTAGGACCCAACCCCACAGCCCCAGGACCCAACCCCACAGCCCCAGAACCCAACCCCACAGCCCCAGAACCCAACCCCACAGCCCCAGGACCCAACCCCACAGCCCTAGGACCCAACCCCACAGCCCTAGGACCCAACCCCACAGCCCCAGCCCCACAGCCCTAGGACCCAACCCCACAGCCCCAACCCCACAGCCCTAGGACCCAACCCCACAGCCCCAGAACCCAACCCCACAGTCCCAGAACCCAACCCCACAGCCCCAGGACCCAACCCCACAGCCCCAACCCCACAGCCCCAACCCCACAGCCCCAGAACCCAACCCCACAGCCCCAGCCCCACAGCCCCAGAACCCAACCCCACAGCCCCAGCCCCACAGCCCTAGGACCCAACCCCACAGCCCCAACCCCACAGCCCCAACCCCACAGCCCCAGAACCCAACCCCACAGCCCCAGCCCCACAGCCCCAGAACCCAACCCCACAGCCCCAGCCCCACAGCCCTAGAACCCAACCCCACAGCCCCAGACACAACCCCAGCGGGAGGGCGGGCGGGCGGTCGGGAAGGAAGGAAGGAGGCATTCCTTCTCCATGTCAGCTGCAGCATGCCTCCAGCCCAATGCCATGCAGGACAATAAGGAGATTGTCTTGGCATCATGGTCTGACCTGCCCAGTGACAGCTGCCCCCAGCCCAGGGCCATGCAGGACAATAAGGAGATTGTCTTGGCATCATGGTCTGACCTGCCCAGCGACCTGGCCATACTCTCTCCTCTTCAGCCTGGCCCATACTGTCTCCTCTTCAGCCTGGCCCATACTGTGTCCTCTTCAGCCTGGCCCATACTGTGTCCTCTTCAGCCTGGCCCATACTGTCTCCTCTTCATCCTGGCCCATACTGTCTCCTCTTCAGCCTTGCCCATACTGTCTCCTCTTCAGCCTGGCCCATACTGTCTCCTCTTCATCCTGGCCCATACTGTCTCCTCTTCAGCCTGGCCCATACTGTCTCCTCTTCAGCCTGGCCCATACTGACTCCTCTTCATCCTGGCCCATACTGTCTCCTCTTCAGCCTGGCCCATACTATCTCCTCTTCAGCCTGGCCCATACTGTCTCCTCTTCATCCTGGCCCATACTGTCTCCTCTTCAGCCTTGCCCATACTGTCTCCTATTCAGCCTTGCCCATACTGTCTCCTCTTCAGCCTGGCCCATACTGTCTCCTCTTCATCCTGGCCCATACTGACTCCTCTTCATCCTGGCCCATACTGTCTCCTCTTCATCCTGGCCCATACTGCACTCCCTCCACTGTCCAGTCTACTACTCTACAGTCACTGACCACAGAGACAGACAGGCAGACGGAGAGGCAGACGGAGAGGCAGACAGGCAGACAGGCAGACAGTCTGTTCAAGCAACACAAGACATGCAACCAGAGGTCTCTTCCCAGTCCCCAGGTCCAGAACAGAGGCTGGGAAACACACAGTATTAAATAGAGCCATGACTACATGGAACTCTCTGCCACCCCAGGTAACTCAAGATAGCAATAAAACCAGTTTTAAAAACCAGATAAAAGAACACCTTACTGCACGAAGGGGACTATGAAGAAACACAGCCATTTTATATACAGTGCATTAGAAGTATTCAGACCCCTTCGACTTTTTCCACATTTTGTTACGTTACAGCCCACATTGCAGACATGCAGCAGCTACTCTTCCTGGGGTACACATAAAACATACTAATACATGACAAAGTACAGAACAGTTATAGACAAGAATAACATAAAATACTACATGAAATAAAAAACACAAAGAAAATAAGAGTTATGAAGTATATTGGAAAGACGCCAAGAGACAACAAAAATACTATTTCCACACTATTCATAAAGGGAGTGCTCCTAATCTCAGCTTGTTACCTGTATAAAAGACACCTGTCCACAGAAGCAATCAATCAATCAGATTCCAAACTCTCCACCATGGCCAAGACCAAAGAGCTCTCCAAGGATGTCAGGGACAAGATTGTAGACCTACACAAGGCTGGAATGGGCTACAAAACCATCGCCAAGCAGCTTGGTGAGAAGGTGACAACAGTTGGTGCGATTATTCGCAAATGGAAGAAACACAAAATAACTGTCAATCTCCCTCGGCCTGGGGCTCCATGCAAGATCTCACCTCGTGGAGTTGCAATGATCATGAGAACGGTGAGGAATCAGCCCAGAACTACACGGGAGGATCTTGTCAATGATCTCATGGCAGCTGGGACCATAGTCACCAAGAAAACAATTGGTAACACACTACGCCGTGAAGGACTGAAATCCTGCAGCGCCCGCAAGGTCCCCCTGCTCAAGAAAGCACATATACAGGCCCGTCTGAAGTTTGCCAATGAAGTCTGAATTATTCAGAGGAGAACTGGGTGAAAGTGTTGTGGTCAGAAGAGACCAAAATCGAGCTCTTTGGCATCAACTCAACTCGCCGTGTTTGGAGGAGGAGGAATGCTGCCTATGACCCCAAGAACACCATCCCCACCGTCAAACATGGAGGTGGAAACATTATGCTTTGGGGGTGTTTTTCTGCTAAGGGGACAGGACAACTTCACCGCATCAAAGGGACGATGGACGGGGCCATGTACCGTCAAATCTTGGGTGAGAACCTCCTTCCCATAGCCAGGGCATTGAAAATGGGTCGTGGATGGGTATTCCAGCATGACAATGACCCAAAACACATGGCCAAGGCAACAAAGGAGTGGCTCAAGAAGAAGCACATGAAGGTCCTGGAGTGGCCTAGCTAGTCTCCAGACCTTAATCCCATAGGAAATCTGTGGAGGGAGCTGAAGGTTCGAGTTGCCAAACGTCAGCCTTGAAACCTTAATGACTTGGAGAAGATCTGCAAAGAGGAGTGGGACAAAATCCATCCTGAGATGTGTGCTAACCTGGTGGCCAACTACAAGAAACGTCTGACCTCTGTGATTGCCAACAAGGGTTTTGCCACCAAGTACTGAGTCATGTTTTGCAGAGGGGTCAAATACTTATTTCCGTCATTAAAATGCAAATCAATTGATAACATTTTTGACATGTGTTTTTCTGGATTTTTGTTGTTGTTATTCTGTCTCTCACTGTTCAAATAAACCTACCATTAAAATTATAGACTGATCATGTCTTTGTCAGTGGGCAAACGTACAAAATCAGCAGGGGATCAAATACTTTTTTCCCTCACTGTATACATTACAGTTAAATTAAATCTTTAGAAAGAGGCGCTGTGATACAATGTTTTTTAAAGCTAAACTTGCTTTTTGCCTGAGTATCCTCTGGTGGCAGAGCAGAGGGAATGGCCGGCAGGGATGTAGCTCAGTTGGTAGAGCATGGCATTTGCAACGCCAGGGTTGTGGGTTCGATTCCCACGGGGGGCCAGTATGAAAAATAAAGAAATAATGTATGCACTCACTAACTGTAAGTCGCTCTGGATAAGAGCGTCTGCTAAACGACAAAAAAAAAAAAATGACATGGCTCTATACATAACTGAGTATCCTCTGGTGGCAGAGCATTCCACGATGACATGGCTCTATACATAACTGAGTATCCTCTGGTGGCAGAGCATTCCACGATGACATGGCTCTATACATAACTGAGTATCCTCTGGTGGCAGAGCATTCCACGATGACATGGCTCTATACATAACTGAGTATCCTCTGGTGGCAGAGCATTCCACGATGACATGGCTCTATACATAACTGAGTATCCTCTGGTGGCAGAGCATTCCACGATGACATGGCTCTATACATAACTGAGTATCCTCTGGTGGCAGAGCATTCCACGATGACATGGCTCTATACATAACTGAGTATCCTCTGGTGGCAGAGCATTCCACGATGACATGGCTCTATACATCACTGAGTATCCTCTGGTGGCAGAGCATTCCACGATGACATGGCTCTATACATAACTGAGTATCCTCTGGTGGCAGAGCATTCCACGATGACATGGCTCTATACATCACTGAGTATCCTCTGGTGGCAGAGCATTCCACGATGACATGGCTCTATACATCACTGAGTATCCTCTGGTGGCAGAGCATTCCACGATGACATGGCTCTATACATAACTGAGTATCCTCTGTTGGCAGAGCATTCCATGATGACATGGCTCTATACATCACTGAGTATCCTCTGGTGGCAGAGCATTCCACGATGACATGGCTCTATACATAACTGAGTATCCTCTGGTGGCAGAGCATTCCACGATGACATGGCTCTATACTTAACTGAGTATCCTCTGGTGGCAGAGCATTCCACAATAACATGGCTCTATACATAACTGAGTATCCTCTGGTGGCAGAGCATTCCATGATGACATGGCTCTATACATAACTGAGTATCCTCTGGTGGCAGAGCATTCCATGATGACATGGCTCTATACATAACTGAGTATCCTCTGGTGGCAGAGCATTCCATGATGACATGGCTCTATACATCACTGAGTATCCTCTGGTGGCAGATCATTCCATGATGACATGGCTCTATACATAACTGAGTATCCTCTGGTGGCAGAGCATTCCATGATGACATGGCTCTATACATAACTGAGTATCCTCTGGTGGCAGAGCATTCCACAATAACATGGCTCTATACATAACTGAGTATCCTCTGGTGGCAGAGCATTCCACGATGACATGGCTCTATACATAACTGAGTATCCTCTGGTGGCAGAGCATTCCACGATGACATGGCTCTATACATAACTGAGTATCCTCTGGTGGCAGAGCATTCCAGGATGACATGGCTCTATACATAACTGAGCATCCTCTGGTGGCAGAGCATTCCATGATGACATGGCTCTATACATAACTGAGTATCCTCTGGTGGCAGAGCATTCCATGATGACATGGCTCTATACATAACTGAGTATCCTCTGGTGGCAGAGCATTCCATGATGACATGGCTCTATACATAACTGAGTATCCTCTGGTGGCAGAGCATTCCATGATGACATGGCTCTATACATAACTGAGTATCCTCTGGTGGCAGAGCATTCCACAATAACATGGCTCTATACATAACTGAGTATCCTCTGGTGGCAGAGCATTCCACGATGACATGGCTCTATACATAACTGAGTATCCTCTGGTGGCAGAGCATTCCATGATGACATGGCTCTATACATAACTGAGTATCCTCTGGTGGCAGAGCATTCC